GAGGATATTCTCGGCCTGCCCAAGAGCAGCGACATTGTTGTGTGGGAGGGCAGCCCGCTCGAGTTTGGCGGTACCGTCGCCCTCAGCTTCGAGGTGGACCAGAATGGCGACCTCGAGGTTGCCGCTTGCTGGCCGCACGAGGATGACCGATAGAGAGGGGTATGACGATGCCGTCTGCCGATGAGTAGAGAGGCACCGTCCCGGTGGAGGGTCGGGTTGGATTAATCGCTGAATCTGTCTCGGGTTGGGTGCTCATTTGGCTGCGCAAAGTATGCAGCTGATATAGTGGCGGATGTTTCTTTCCACACGATGTGCTTCAGGACGAAATGTATATCTAGATAGTGTACAACAAAGCACATTCACAGCTTGCTAGGTCGTCGAGTGAGGGGCAGCGTCACGCATATACAAGCTATGCGAAGGGCCATGCTACATAGCTCGGTTTGTGCCATGTGAGGTTGTCAGACGTACACTATGCGGCACATCTAGAGTCTGTCACCGTTGCCACAACTATCCGGAGGCCAAAGCCACAGTGTCACGGGCCAGAACATGACAGAGTCGTCTCTGCCAAACGATTCGTTCCTGGACCAAGACACTCTCGAGGGACACAACAACTCAAGACTTCAACCTGCAACCTAGACGGATAAAGTCTTGCGTCGGGACAACCTTTCCCGCCAAACTGGGCAACACTAATATCTGCGCAACCCCTCCGAGGCCTTACGCAACTACCCGTCGATACCAGTAATCCCCGCGGGACCGTGACTGCCAGCCCTAGCCCCGACGCAAGCCCTTATCAACGGAAGCCGGGAACGCGGCACATGGCCAAACAGGCGCGCACGCACGAGCTTACTCGCAAGATGCGCCCGGGGGGAAGGGATTGCCAAGGGAGGTAAACAATGGAGCTAGGCGATTGATGGTGACGTGCTAGTGAGGCCGCACACGCAGGGACGGGAGCAGATTGATTTCACAAAGGGGCGTCGGGCTCGGATGGCGATTTGAGAGAAATCCCTCAAGAGGTTTGGACACGGGACGGGTGTAATTCCGTCATCGTCCCGGGGAGCAGCAAGCCACGTTGATCTTTTCGGCTGTGCTTGCCTGAGAGCTTGGGTTAGTAATGGAGAGGCGACACTTTGCCAGAGATGAGATGGCACCGTCTGGCCTTGGTTCGGCTCGGGATGGTGCGGCGCCGTCGATCTGTCCCTGCGGTGCAGACGGGGACAGACTGACACTTTAGCTAGCAAGGACCATCGCAACTTCCAATAGGAATAAGAAAGCTCAGAGTGCATGACAAACTGCCGGTCGCCGAGAGGTGCGTTGCAAATTGCGACTAGATAAGCTCGCTAAGCATGTCCGTGTTAATGGCGCGCAGAGATGCCAGTGATGGCCTCGCTGCCTTGAATGCTTTCTAGCCACGGCGTCGAGAGACAATTTGTTTCATCCTCAATCTGCCCAGTAGCGGCTTCTGGCTCACGTTTGCCGATTGTCTAATTGAGCGGACCACCATTGGGGACCGGGCGTTTTGGAAGCGCGCGCCAGCCGATTTCCCGCCAGACGGCGGCTCAGGGGGACTCCCAGGACGCAAAGGGAGAGAGCCCCTCTGCCCAGGAAAGAGAGCTTGTTGCTATATGGGCTATTATGTCAAGAGAATTCGTATCGCCAGGCGCGACCGTCAGTCATCTCGCCTGTTTCCTTGGGACTTACTCGTAACCTGGTTTTCCACCTCTTGGCACTTTGAGACCCCGACGAGAGCCACCGTGGCGCGGTACCACCCCATGCAAACGTTGTGAACCCAGGGCTGGTCAACTTGGTAGGAAGCGGGCATCGTTCAATTTGGAGATGAAGAGAGGCGGTGTTGACGACGGTGGATTTGTCGGTGAGCCCTTGCCCAGACAAGGCCGTTGTTATTCCAAGATACATCGGCGATACTGCTCGAAGAAAACTGAGTATGTCTCTGATCCAACTGTTTCCGGGGCTGGCTGAAGACAACCTGGCGCGTGTCGAAGTGAGACCGTCGCAATTCAAGACAGAAGACCAAAAGAGGAATCTTTGTGTGGAATTATCCCGCGCGTGCGCACAAAAATAAGCCTTCGGAACGGCGATGTTTCGTCATTCCGGTAAAGCCTCTTGAAGCCAAAAGCTACAGCTGGATTCTCGCCCGGTCGGAGATGCATCACGCGGTTCCCAGCCACTCCAAGAACCACCAGTGAGGTGTCATGTGTGTTCTCGGGGGACTATAGATGCAATGCGCGAAGTGGTGGTGGTGCATACTGCACATCGGAACAGCCCTCAAGCAGGTTGCCGGAGACATGAATTTTGGCATTATTCTAGCGCTGGTCGACTCCAGCTATGCGAAATTTTCATCGCAGTTGAGTGCCGGTGTGATGGCCAGGGACTGATGCCAGGTTGCAGCCGGAGGCAGCAGTCAATCTCCCCGCAGGAGCGCCGCCGACTCGGGAGGACATGATTTGCCGGGCAGTCCGTGATTGTTTTCTCGAACACACGGGTTAACATGGGATGAGCGCCAGGATCAGGCGTTTCGAGACCCCACCAGCCGCTGACCCAGTCGACACCTCCAGAGTATAGAGTCCAGAGCTCGTGGGCAGGCCTGTGATCTGTCAAGGCCGATCCCCAGCCTTTGGGGGTATCGACAGAGGTCTGGACTCTGCTAGGGCCGATTGTGTCACAACTTTCTTGGACCGGATGGAACCGAGGGATTGGAATGGCGAGCGACTATTAGATTGCCTTCATTCTCGCTGGAGGATGAATGGCATTGTTCGGTGGTTTGAGCCTGGGAATTGTGCCCCGATGGAGCGTCGCGCGACCAGAACAGACGTTTTGCGAGGGATGGAGGTGGGGAACGACGAGTTGGATGCATAAGTTATGCAGCTAGAAAACTCTTTTGCCCGGCCAAGGCCAAGGAAGCCAGAGTCAAGACAACGGAGAGAGACATGGCCATTCCGTCGGGAGGCAAGAAAGGGATTGTTCGAAGGGTGATCCAGTTGGAAGAATGACCCCGAGATTCCCGAATGACAGGTTTGATGTCTCGCAGGTGATGTTGCTGAAGCTCGATGCGGTTGGAACTGTGTTCACTCTTTCCAGCCTTTCGAAAAAAAGTCTCAAGTGCCGACTCAGATGTGGTTTCCTATCTTGTCCGTCTCCAACTTCCTGCCCGTTGCTTCTTGGGAAAAAGTCTCAAACCCTGCAATTTGGAAAGGGCGAGCCCCTGCGCAAGTGGGATAAACACCTGGGTAACGCTTGCCCGAATAAGGGTTAGCGGGAAAGAAGGTAAACCGCAACCTTCTGTTGTCCCTTCCCAAAGACATCGAGGCAGCAACGACAGACGGGACGTTGCGAGGTTTTGTGGAAGGCGCTGCTGATATCTGTTTCTTGTGTCCTCTGGCAGCATTCCCGAATCACCGGCAGCGTGCATTACTTATTCAAGTCCATGGCAATGTGCACCGTCATCAACACCTCACGACATGCACGACGGACCAAGAGCTTGCAAGAGGCAGACACTTGACAGGCTGCCAGGACGTCATGGGCCGGATCATGGACGACGCCCTTTGCCCCTGAAATATAGCATCGACCCGTGTGCCAACCGCCACCAAGCCCTGAGCGTCGATAGTCGCTGGAGCCTGGTGGTGCTGGCAGCTATGTGTTTCCAAACGGGCGGACGCCTCTGATCCGCCAAATCAAACTTTTGCAGCGCCACAAACGGGCACTTGAAGCCCTTTGCCCAGGAGGCCGGCTGGCAGCTGGGTATCCTCTTCCGTGGTGTGGCCTCGGTGAAAGCTGACTGGACGCCACGTCGCGCGGCACAAACGCTAGCGAGAGAAGAAGCCCAGAAACCAGGGGCGAGTCAGCGTGCCTTTCTTCGTGCTAAGAACAGCTCCGGCGTCACACTGAGCGACAGTTGACCTCGGGCCTGCACAATTTTGGCAGTTGGACATCACATTCAGCCAATGGGAAGTCGGCCACGCTTATGCACCATGCAGGAACCAGCCGTGCAGCACACCATCTCAACTTTTGTGCACTCCCGTCTCCTATCCAGTGCGTGAGTGCAGACATCAGATGAGCGGGGGTCCAAGGGGTCGTCAGCTTGCCGCCGTTTCGTTTCTTCTCAGCTTTTTGTAGTGGTGTAATGTACTCTGGGCGATTCGTCTGGGCTCTTGTCTGTTCTTTTTCCATTTAGAAATAATGCGGACAATTCCTTGGTTGTGTCGAACATGTACTCGAAAATAGCAGTCAGGAGGTTACCAGGAATTAAGCATGTTCCTGTTCATCCCATCTCTCGAGTACATGGCTTGGGCATACATCTTAACACAAGGTACTTTCATCTTGATTCTGACTGCCACGTTGTCGAGGTGCGACCCTCCTCACCACGCTCAACCTACCTTATGTATATTTACTGCTATCGCCCTGTGCTCGAGTACTTCATCGCCAGATGGCACTACCACGAACACTCCATGGCGTCACGGCTGAGCGTCCCTGGCCACCCTGCTAGCGCCTTCCTACCACCCGGGCCCCCTTCCCAGATCCAAGGTACCTCGCCGTAGCCTGCCAACTCCCACTCACGGTGTGCCCCCCGTCCCGCCCGGGTCTGGGTCCCAGCTGCCGTCCGATGAATATATTACTTCCCACTTCTTCCATCCTCCACCGTGGATCTACACCCCGACCTCACCTTCTCCATTCCACCACTTTTCCCTGTCGACACTTGCTGGGCATTTTATTCTCTCCTTTCATCATTCCTTTCCAACCCACAAAACGCTACAGCTTGCTGAGCACGTCCTCTCATTACAACTTCTAGACAGCCCTCTTTGACCTGTCTCATTCCACTCACTCACCACTTTCGTCACTCACCGAGTCGCGATATACACCCTTCACTTCACCAGGTGCTCCGGTATCAGCACCCATACAGTCCCTACTCAACCAGCAAGAGTCCCAGCGACCACTTTGATACCCGTCTCATACCGCACAATCACCCAACCGTACAATCAACGACCATGAAGTTCTCCGCTGCCACTACTTTGGCTGCCCTTCTGGGCGCCGCCTCGGCCGGCTCCAAGTCCGATGACAGAACCTTTGCCGTCCTCCGCTTCAACAACAAGCAGCTCGTCAAGACCCGTGTTGATCCCATCATCAACCCCGGAAAGCCCGCGACCCACGTTCACGGCGTCATGGGAGGAAGCAACTTTGGCATGTCGGCCACTGGCGAGACTCTATCCCAGTCCAAGTGCACCAACGCCATGATCAACGGCGACAACAGCGCCTACTGGTTCCCGTCTCTTTACTTCCAGGACCCCAAGACCAAGGAGTTTGAGGCTGTCGATGTTTTCTATGTCAACGTCTACTACTTGTGAGTATAGCTGTCTTCTGGACCAAATCCTCTATTAACACCGCCCAGCTTCGATGGCACCGATGATGAGATCAAGGCCTTCCCCAAGGGCCTGCAGATCTTTAGCGGTAATTCCTCCGCTCGCGTTGCCCCGTCGTCTGGAGGCAAGGAAAACCTAGAGCCGGCGGACGGCCCCATCCAGCCTGTTCAGTGGACTTGCCCCAGATCCAACTACAACCCGCCATCGTACCCTGCCAACTCTGACGGCACTACCGCCGGCATCGTCGATCCCAACAACGACGGCTCCGGAGTCGGCTTCCCCGACCAGAACTGCGACGGCTACGCTTCTCCCCTCCGTGCCGATGTCCACATGCCTTCCTGCTACAACCCCAACGCTGCCCTGACTGACTACGAGAGCATGGCCTGGCCTTCGAACAAGGGTGCGTCGAACAGCCGCCGCAAAAACTGCCCTGCCGGATGGATCCACGTTCCTCACATGTTCTTCGAGGTCTACTGGGACACTCCCAAGTTTGCCAGCCGCTGGACTCCCGGCCAGGGCTCGCAGCCCTTTGTCCTCTCCAACGGTGATGCCACTGGTTACAGTCTCCACGCCGACTTCATTGCTGCTTGGGATGAGACCGTTCTCCAGCAAATCATTGACAACTGCAACGCCGGCTCTTCTGGTATGGACAAGTGCCCTGGTCTCCTCAAGGGCCTCAACACCAACAAGGACTGCACAATCTCCTCTCCCGTTGACGAAGTTGTCGATGGTCTCATGAGCAAGCTTCCCGGCAACAACCTCCTCACCTCCTTCGGTGCTGTCGTCAGCGGTGGCAGCAGCAGCGGCAGCGGTAGCGGCAGTGGTTCTGTTGCCAACCCTTCTGGTTCCTCTGCTTCGTCTGCGGCGACGGCTGCTTCTGCAAAGCCCTCCGCCGTCCAGCCTTCTGCCAGCAAGCCCGCCACCTCTGGCTACGTCAGCCAGGAGGAAGTCCCCAAGACATCCGCCGTGGTCGCTTCCGAGCTTCCCATTCAGGTCGCCCCTGAGAAGGCCAGCACCAAGGCTGCCGAGACGTCTGCCGCTGCCGCCGTCCCTACCACCAACGCAGTCGCGCCCAAGCCCTCGGCATCTGGGTGCTCCCGCAAGACCAGGACCGTCTACAAGACCGTCACCGTCACCTCTCCCGCAGAGGAGTCCAAGGCCGCTGCGACCCCCGCCGGCTCTACCGACAACTACAAGGCCCGTCGCCACGTCCACGAACACGAGCACCTCCACCGCCACCGCAGCAACCGCAAGTAAGCGGGTTGTCCATCGGACCTATGCGCGCCGCCAGCGTTTTGGTTGCGCTTGTATCAAACTTTTCTTCGTTAGACATTCTAGGGCCGTGGCTGGGATGGGAGTTTGACACGTTGTTTTGTTTGGACACTGGGACTCGGCGGGGCTGTTTGGAAAAGCATCCCCATTTTCGTGCGCGAGCATTCGCGCCAATTTCTTCTTTTCTTTTTTTTTACGATGATGATGATCAGTTACATACACACCTTTGAACCGGGGGAAAGCAAAGCTTGGGGAACACGAGCAATCTCAAGGGCAACTGGATTCCGCTTCTTGTTTGTACCTTGGAACACATACATTTCGATTCTTACATGGGTCTCTGCAGACGAGGCACCGCATTTGGGAAGGGGTTTTGAGAAGTGGTTATTTGCTTGGTAGCCAGATAGACAATTGAGCCAACCATGTTACCACCACTGACAAGTAAGCCGTGTGAGAGGTGTAAGGCCCACCAAATTGGCGCCTGGACGTCAAATTAAGGTTATTTCGTCCACGCGAAACAAGTCCACCTCATTCAATTGCATTGCCAAACCCATGATCCAGATGCCGACTCAAAAGTTAATTTAACAAGTCGCAGTGACCATTTCTCAGCGAAGCAAGGGACACATCGAGACGGGTGCGTGTGTGACAGTCTCAATTGGCCAAGCAATCAACACGCCCGTCCACTGCCGCCGGTCCCCACAAATTCTCCGAGCCAGCGGTGTCCACTGTAGAAATTTCTCTTCACCTCATCCGCCGATACCCCACAGCCGCACACCGAGACACGGCTGCGGTGACCAACGTCAATATACACGGACAGCCGGCACTATGTCGCTATATCATGAGGCTGCCGACATTCTTTCGGCGAGCTCAGACCACGGTGGCAGCTTAAAGAGTCGCGTCTTTGGCCAAAAACGTCTCAAGTCGCCGCCAGCGCAGGTCTACGCCCTTGCACTGGAGACGTGCAAGTGGAGTGCCATCTTGAAGGAGGTCATCGAGGCGGCGGACATTCTGCGCCATGAGCGCAAGGTGAGTCTGCTGCATCTTCAAGTCGTTGACTGTCGCTGACTCTGCAGCTTACACCTTTGCTGGCGCTACTGCTGGTGCACGACTTCCTCCTGGCCAAGAAGGGTATCGCGCTGCCCCAGTCTCACGGTCTCAGGACAACCATTGAGCGGCACAAGGCGAGATTAACTTCTGAGCTCACGCGCGCCCGCCTGAGGAGGAAGGTGTCGTCGTTGGAACTGCTGCGGGCTGACGTCAACGCCAACGCGGACCCTGAAGGAAGACACCCTCGATGGATCAGGGTGAACGTGCTCAAGAGTACTGTGGAGGACCAGCTTGAGACCACTTTCAAGGGGTACGAGAGAGCGCTTTCCATCGAGGCCGTGGCGCAGGCAACGGGCAAGGCCATCTTTATCGATACTCACATCCCCTACCTCCTCGCGGCATCGCCTGGCACGGATGTGACCAAGACGCAGGCTTATCTCAAGGGCGAGATCATTCTTCAGGACAAGGCGTCCTGCTTTCCAGCATACCTTCTGGACCCGCACTCGGAAGACGGCGACGTTATCGATTCGTGTGCGGCGCCGGGGAATAAGACAACGCATCTCGCAGCGATTGTCAAGTCGCATGAACCGGAGCAGGGAGCCCAGAAACAGACCATCTTTGCGTTCGAGAGGGACTCTAAGAGGGCCCAGACGCTGGAGAAGATGGTCAGGATTGCTGGCAGTCGAGGCATGACCAAGATTGGTCCTGGTCAGGACTTTCTAGACGTTGATCCCACGTCTGACACATACAAAGACGTCGGAGCCCTGCTGCTGGACCCCAGCTGCTCTGGCAGCGGTATCGTAGGGCGTGATTCGATGCCAGAACTGCATCTCCCGGAGATCCCTGGCCCGCCTGGATCCAAGAACGCAAAGGGAAAGCCGTCCAAACAGGACGACCGCAAGCGCAAGCGGGACGAAAAGGAGGAGCCCGGTGCGGTGATGGTCGATGATGACGGCAACACGGTCGAGGTTCAGTCGGAACAGGAGCTGCAAAAGCGTCTGGACGCGTTAGCCGGCTTCCAATTAACGCTTCTGCTTCACGCCATGACGTTTCCCGGTGCCAAGAAGATTACCTACTCCACCTGCTCGATACACGCAGAGGAGAACGAGGGCGTGGTGATCAAGGCCCTCGCGTCAAAGGTTGCGAAAGAGCGTGGCTGGACGATCCTACCGAGGCAGAAGCAGGTCCGCGGTATGCGGGAGTGGCCCGTCCGTGGACTGCCCGAGGCGGCTGGAGGTGATGAGACTGTAGCGGAAGCGTGTATTCGTACGTACAAGGGCGACGGTCACGGCGTGATGGGATTCTTCGTTGCCGCGTTTGCGAGAGAGGAGACGGTCGACGGGGATGGACCGTACTTGAGAGACGACGAAGGACGGATCGTGAGGGATATGGCTGGGATGCCGGTGCTCAAGAGCACAGGGAAGCCTGTGGTACTGGAGACGGCGAATGTGAGCGCGCCCGAGCAGGAGAACTCAAGTGAAGAGGAGAGTGAGGACGCAAGCGATGAAGGCAGCGGCGAGGACGAGTGGAACGGGTTTGACTAGGTCGGCTCTATGGAAGAGAGGTGGTGCTTGTAATAGAATAATTTGTCAGTCTACTCGGGCTCTCCTTCGTATCTGCAACGACGTGTGTACTTTGACCTGCTCCTTCCTCCTCGAGAAACAACATCTATCTCCAGGAAAGCGGGTCCTCAGCCCTTCCCGGCAACACTTTTGCCTCGAGCCTTCCTTCCCTGCTCCGTCTTTCCAACTTGCGTGCCTTGTGTTTCTCTCAGCCTCAGTATATTTGCCCTCCTCTCGTAGGTGCACCGGGCTACACTTGGTGAACGCTTTCACGTTGTTACGAATACCGTCATTTCCGCTTTGTCATGCATGCGGCAGAGACCGAACGACAAAGGGAACAAGGGCAGGAATGTTGAGTCACCGTTGATTATTGTATATTGAGAATGGCGTTTGGATCGGGATTTTCTTCATAACTGATGCTAGGCTTGCTTGTAATAATGGAAAAAGTACTGTAAAGTCGTGGTTCCCTGCAATGTGACCTTGAACAAGCCTGGACCTTGTCCAGGAGTCAATCCCTGTCGTCCATCAGACAGGGGTAACCGACGACATCCCACCCTTTCTATTCCATCAATCTCTTCCTCTCATCCTTCCAAAAACCACCAAGGAAAGAGAAAATGGTTTCTCATAGCTTTCTGTGGATGCTCCTGGTGCCATTGGTACCTGGGACGGCGGGGCAGGACCAGGTCTCGCTCAGCAACGAGATGAGGTTGATTGCCTGTGAGTACATCTGACGGATAAAGTAGACATGAGCTGACAGTTGTAGGTGCCAAGGTAGAATGAACTCGATAGGGTGTGGTCATATTGCTGACCAAAAGGTTGATCGCAGTCTCCAGAGATCTCCAAGCACCTAACGGCAGAGTGGGAAGCAGCGCAATCCTCAGCCAACCTCCCCATGGCCTGGATCGAGGACGCCGCCGAGGACCACTGCGCAGACGTGCCAGCGACCGCCTACCCCTCCGTCAAGCTCTTGCGCGACGGCGAGCCGGCGGTAGACTACCTAGGTCCCATAACGAGCGACGAGTGAGTCTGCAGCCCTCCTCGCAGCAAAGCTAACACGCCTACCACTAGAATTCTACGTTTCAGCGACCGCGCCCGACGGCCTCAAGTCTCCAGCGTCTCAATCGAGGAAGCCGAGTCCTTTGGCAATAGCGACGTTTTTGTCTGCGTAGCTCACCTCGGTCCAGATGAGCCGGCGCTCCGGCGGGCCTTTGAGGCCGTAGCGCAGAAGCACTGGGCCGAGTTCACCTTTGGCATCGTCGATACGCCAACATCCGCGGACGCCAAGGTCGTGTGCCGCAAACGCGACGACGAGAGCACGCACACGCGGAGCGCGGCAGACGGGCTCGAGGGCTGGGTCCTGGAAGTGTCCAGGCCCGTCATCGCGGAGCTGACGCCCTTGAACCACCAGCGATTCATCGACGTATGTCTTGCCTTGTCACAGCAGAAGCAGCTATAAAGGATACTGACGAAACACAGCGCGCCTGGCCAATCGTCTACATCTTCTCGCCCTCCACGCAAACCCGCGCCTCCATCCGCGCAGACCTCCACGACTTTGCAAAGAAGCAGTACGCCTCCCTGACACCCGTCACAGTCGACCCGAACCGCTTCCCCGACCTCCCCGCCAAGCTCGGCCTCGGCCCCGACGTCGCCGAAGACGCGTACCCCGTCGGCGCGGTCCACCAGGTCTCTAACGGGAGGACCTACCCGTACCCCAAGGGCAAGGCTTTTACGCCGCGCGAGCTGCAGGGGTGGGGGCTGGACGTGTGGCAGGGACGGGTCAAGCCGTGGACGCCGCCGGCGCAGGAGGCCGTCGACGACAAGGCTGGGTCGGTGAAGAGTAACGTGAGGGTTCTGAGCTCGCACAATCTCAAGGTGAAGAACATTCCGGGGCTGAAGATCAAGATTGGCGGGCGGGAGCGGGATGAATTGTAGTGCGATTGACTTTGAGTGTTGATCTATTAGTCTATGATTATACAGATGAGGGGGGGTCTATCTGGTATCTAATGTCGGCTTCTGTGGCCTGTCTAGTATGCTCTGAAAACTGCCCAAAACTCCTTGCAAATGCTAACATCATGCCGTGACACGTGCCGCTCCGGGTATCATTGTCTATCCATGCTCCCATCTCCAGATACGTAGTGAAGAAATGTCATCTATGCGTCGTCTAAGTTAAGCCTTGGGAGTCTCAGGCTCACCCTGGACGGTCCGCTCGTCATCGGACAAAACACCGCCGTCGCTGGCAGAGACGGACTTGCTGCGCTTGTGCTCCTTCTCGTGCGCCCGCTCCTCGGCCATGGCGTCGTCCTCGTTGACCTCCTCATGCGTCTTGCGCATGCGCTCCAGCACTTCAGCGGCCTCGGCGGCGAAGGCGCACTTTGCGCG